GGCCCTAGCTGTCTAAATTTAAACCCCAACCCCCTGAGCTAAGTCTGTGGTTGCACATTCTCAGAGCAGCCTTGTTTCTCCATCCCAAACCCAGGCCGTGGCAGGTGAGCCTCACCAGGAAGCGGGTTTTACCCCCCACCTTTTTGTTGTTGGTGGTGTTTTTTTTTGTTTTTGTTTTTTGAGTTGGAGCCTCACTCGGTCGCCCAGACTGGAGTGCATGGCCGCTCCCGGTCACCGCAGCCTCGACCTGCTGGGCTCCGGCGATCCTTCCGCCTCAGCCTTCCGAGTAGCCGGAATTACAGTCACACGCTACCATGCCCGGCTGATTTTTTGATTTATTGTAGAGATGAGGTCTCACCAAGTTGCCCAGGCGGGTCTCGAACCCACGGGCTCAGGCAATCCACTCACCTCAGCCTCCCAAGGCGCAGGATTACAGCCTGAGCCACCGAGCCCAGCTAAAAAATTTTTTCCCCTGTTGGGGACAGGGTCTTGCTATGTTGTCTAACCTGGTATTGAACTCCTGGGCTCAAGCAATCCTCCCACCTGGGTCTCCCAAAGTGCTGGGATTACAGGTGTGCGCTACCACACCCAGCCAAATAATGTATTTTTAAACTAAAACTAGCTCATTGCCATGTTGTGTGGCAAATCCACTCATCTGAATTTTCCAACAAATGCATTGGGGGTGAAAAAACAACTTTCTTTCTCTCTTTTTGTTTTTTTAACAGATTCAATTTTTCTTTTAGAAGTCTTAATTAACCCTAATTCCAAATTATTCATTATGGTTTGAGGATTCAGTTAGACATTAGGGATTATGACCATTTAGGATTTCAACATTCAGGATTATGATGTTAGGATTGTGTCTTTTGGGATTATGATCAGCACTGTAGAAAGTCTAGCTCACTATTTTGAGAAGACTGTGACATATTTGCAGAAGAAATGTCCTGAATTGCAGCAAACAGGTGACTGGCATGGCAACACACTTGCCTACACCATGCTGTGTTCAGCAGTTTTTGACTAAAAATAGTGTGACCCCTGTGCCCACCCTCCCTATTCATCTGATCTTGCCCTGAGCAACTTTTTTTAAAAATTTGTTTTCCTGATGAAAAAAGTCCTCAAAAAGTCCTTTTGGCAACGTGGAAGAGGTGAAACAAAAAATGGCAGAAGCACTAAAAGTCATCAAAATTATTTTGAGCAGTGGATACAGCAACTTGATAGGTGTATTGCATCAGATAGAGAGTACTTTGAAAGTGACTGAAGTTTAAACATGGAAGAATAAATACCCACTTTTTTAAATAAATAAATTCCAAGTTTTGCCCCTGTTCCTTGTATTTGCCCTTAATTGCTTTCAAAAAACACCAGCCAGAAGGCTGCTGCAACTCTGAGAAAGTTCTGTGAAAAGAACAAAGAAAAGTCCCTGAGTCAATTCCTCAGGCAGCCTCTAAACATGTCAGCCATCATTCTTTGATAACATGGTCTCTATTGCCACTCTGGCGTGAGCAAACTGCATAACTAGGAAAAATATATACCACATTAGATTATCAGAACAGAAAGGACTCTAAAAGTGAGTGAAGGGATCATTTAGATTTTATGTTTAGTGGCTGGAGGTTTGGCAGTAATCATCCAATCTTTATTCATATTAATGCACATTACATTTCTAGATTTGGGGCTCTTATCAAGATGCTCTGAAGAACAACATCACTGCAACTTCATGACCAAAGACAAAGAACCAGTTGTCAGAGGCTTCCATGTTGTCTGCATTATGGCCATAATAGTTGGAGCTGCAATCCAGTTCTCTGATGAAAGTGAATATTTGGTAAACATGTCAAAAGCAAACCTTACTCATGTTCCAAAAGGTCTACCACCAAAAACCAAAGTCTTAGATATGTCTCAAAACTACATATCTGAGCTTCAGATCCCTGATGTCCGCTTTTTGTCAGGACTGACAGTTTTGAGACTTTCCCATAATAGAATCCGGCAACTTGATTTTAGTGTTTTCAAGTTCAACCAGGATTTGGAATATTTGGATTTATCTCATAATCAGTTGCGAAAGATATCCTGCCATCCTATCGTGAGTCTGAAGCACTTAGACCTCTCATTCAATGACTTTGATGCCCTGCCTATCTGTAAGGAATTCAGCAACTTCACGCAACTAAATTTCTTGGGATTAAGTGCTACAAAGTTACAACTGTTAGATCTGCTGCCAGTGGCTCATTTGCATCTAAATTACCTCCTTTTGGATTTAAGAAGTTACTATGTGAAAGAACATGACACAGAACGTCTTCAGATTCTGAATACAAAGATACTTCACCTTGTTTTTCACCCAAATAGCTTATTCTCTGTCCAAGTGAACATATCAGTTAATACCTTAGGGTGCTTACAACTGACTAATATTAAATTGAATGATGAGAACTGTCAAGTTTTAATTAAATTTTTATCGAAACTCATTAGAGGCTCAACTTTAATGAATATTACCCTAAACCACTTGGAAGTAACTTGGAAATGCTTGGTTGGAGTCTTTCAGTTCCTTTGGCCCAAACCTGTGGAATATCTTAATGTTTACAAATTAACAATAGTTGAAAGCATCGACGAAGAAGATTTTACTTATTCTCAAACAACACTGAAAGCATTGAAAATAGAACATATTAGAAACCGAGTTTATCTTTTTTCACAGACAGCGTTATACACTGTGTTTTCTGAGATGAACATCATGACGTTAACCATATCAGATACACCTTTTATACACATGCTTTGTCCCCAGTCACCAAGCACATTTAAGTTTTTGAACTTTACCCAGAATGTTTTCACAGATAGTATTTTTCAAAATTGCTCCACGTTGGTTAAATTGGAGACACTTATCTTGCAAAAGAATGGATTAAAAGATCTTTTCAAAGTAGGCCTCATGACTAAAGATATGCCATCTTTGGAAACACTGGATGTCAGCTTGAATTCTTTGAAATCTGATCAACATGAAGAAAATTGCACTTGGGCTGAGAATATAGTGATGTTAAATTTGTCTTCAAATATACTCACTGACTCTGTTTTCAGGTGTTTACCTCCCAGGATCAAGGTACTTGATCTTCACAAAAACAAAATAAAGACCATTCCTAAACGAATCATGAAACTAGAAGCTTTGCAAGAACTCAATGTTGCTTTCAATTCTTTAACTGACCTTCCTGGGTGTGGCACTTTGAGCAGCCTTTCGGTGCTGATCATTGATCACAATTCCATTTCCCACCCATCAGCAAATTTCTTCCAGAGCTGTCAAAAGATTAGGTCCATAAAAGCAGGGAACAATCCATTCCAATGCACCTGTGAGCTAAGAGAATTTACCAAAAATCTAGGCCCGCTATCAAGTGAAGTGCTAGAGGGCTGGCCTGATTCTTATAAGTGTGATTACCCTGAAAGCTACAAGGGAACCCCACTCAAGGACTTTCACGTGTCGCAATTGTCCTGCAACCCAGCTCTGCTGATCGCCACCATTGGGACCATCGTGCTGGTGTTGGCTGTGACCGTGACCTTCCTCTGCATCTACCTGGATGTACCCTGGTATCTCAGGATGGCGAGCCAGTGGACCCAGACCCGGAGACGGGCCAGGAACACACCCTTAGAGGAACTCCAAAGAACTCTCCAGTTTCATGCTTTTATTTCATATAGCGAACATGATTCTGCCTGGGTGAAGAATGAATTGGTACCTTGCCTGGAAAAAGAAGATGTACAGATTTGTCTCCATGAGAGAAACTTTGTTCCTGGTAAGAGCATTGTGGAAAACATCATCAACTGCATTGAGAAGAGTTACAAGTCCATCTTTGTTCTGTCTCCCAACTTTGTCCAGAGTGAGTGGTGCCACTATGAACTCTACTTTGCCCACCACAAGCTCTTCTGTGAGGGGTCTGATAACTTAATCCTGATCTTGCTGGAGCCCATTCCACACAACAGCATTCCCAGCAAGTATCACAAGCTCAGGGCACTCATGAAGCAGAGGACTTATTTGGAGTGGCCTAAAGAAAAGGGTAAACATGGACTTTTTTGGGCTAACATTAGAGCTGCTTTCAATATGAAATTAGCACTAGTCACTGAAAATGATGATGTGGAAAACCTAAAATAAAATCAGGAAATCCAGTTTAAGAAACCATCATTAACTTGAATTCAGCTGAGCACTATGGTTCTAAGTTACCATCTGAAGGTACTTCCATCATTTCCACGCCTGCAAGAAAACAAAATGTCCACTGGAGATTGTGCTGGGGGAGTGAGGTGGTGCTCAACTTGTGAGGAGAGACAGCTCTGAAACTATCTCTTTTGAGTGAACGCTCTGTTATTCAAGAGTTCCTCTCCCCTCTCCTTTCCCAAGTGGACTCTGTGTGAAGAGGAGCTTATGTGACTTCATGGCAGCTAGAAAACAGTTGACCTCAGCAGGGCATGCACTGTCCCTGGAGTGTCCTATGGGTCCTCATTGGCCTCTGGGAGTGCTTTTCCATCCTGTCCAACTTTAGGACTTGGGAAAACATTAGACCAGCTGTGGAACATAAAAAAGTGTTTTGTTTCACATTTGTGTAATAGTTTATTTAATTTTTTACCTTGCTACACAAATATGTAATTAAACATGGCATAATAATGTATGTATATGAAGGAAATTGTAGACTTTGTTATAAGCTGCTGAGGCGAAAGACACGGATTTCCCTGTCACGGATTTCCCAAGGAAACTTGGAGCTAAATTTATTTGTGACTGGATATTGAACTGGACTTTTCTGATGGTCTTAGAATTTTGCCTAAAGCCCCAAAGCTGAAAAAGGCAGTAAATGCTCCTACATTTTAAACAGAGATATTAGACACAGTCAAGCTGGACTTAAAAGCCGAAAGAGACCAGTATCATCAATCCACATTACCCATCTTCATAAGACTATAGACTCAAAAGAGTGATGAAAGAGTCATTAAGAGCCCACGACAGTAACCTACACCGATCCTCACAGCTACACGAGAGGCTGAGTCAGGAGGATAACCTCTTGAGGCCAGAGCAGTTCAAGGCTGCAATGAGACATGATCATTCCATTGCACTTCAACCTGAGCAACAGAGTGAGACCCTATCTTTGAAAAAACAAACATGTGGAGGTTCTAGACCATGAAGAAATTGTTTTAGATCTCTTTGAAGGCAAGCATGAGGGGCTCTGAACATAGTAGAACAGTGGTCCCCAAACGTTTTGGTACCAGGGACTGGTTTTGTGAAAGACAATTTTTCCACAGACTGGGGAAGGGGGGGTGGGGGGAATGGTTTTTGGATGACTCAAGCACATGATATCTATTGTGCATTTTATTTCTATTATTATTATAACATCGTAATATATAATGAAATGATTATACAATTCACCACTAAAAAAAAAGTCATGGATGGAAGTCGTAAATAAAATAATGGGCAGGCCACACGTGAACTAAAATAAGTGTCGGTTTCTGACTTAAAGCCTGCCACGAGATGCAGCTGTACAACTGAAGTATATCAACTCACTGCCATTCACTGATAGGGTTGTGATATGAGTCTGCAAGCAATTGATTTATTATGGCCTCTGTGCAGTCAAACCTCACTGCTAATGTTAATCTACATATGCAGCCACTCCCCAGCATTAGCATCACCACCTTAGCTCCACTTCAGATCATCAGGCATTAGATTCTCATAAGAAGCATACAACCTAGATGCACGCTCCTATGAGAATCTAATGCTACCACTGATCTAACAGGAAGCAGAGCTCAGGCGGTAATGTGAGTGATGGGAGTGGCTGTAAATACAGATGAAGCTTTGCTCACACACCCGTTGTGTTGGAAGCCGAGCCGGCCGTGGAGGCCTGCCTGAGCATTAGGGATCCAGGCGGGCTGTGGACCCTGAGACCACCAGGTTGTGTTCAGGAGCTGAAGGCCCATTCCCTCCTCCTTTCTTTGTTGTTTGGCATTACCCACTAGCAGGGACTTTGATGATCTAAGCATGAAGTTCTGAGAATATGACAGGCATGGCTGACTCTAGGGATCCATTGTTCCTGTTTCTCACAGACTGCAGTTTCGGCTTTAAACTTAACACAGTTCAAACTCAGATCACATTTGGGAGCCTTATACATGATACAAGCTTCTTTATAAGATTTAAAAGTATATTTGTAGAATTAGTATATACATTTAGAGAGCTGTTTCCAGCTTTAGATGGTATAGATGATTATCTACAGTTACCAGAAAAGGCCCAGCACGAACTTTGGACTGGGCCACATTCCTAAGAGCCCAGCATCCACTTTGGGCTGGGCTGCATTCTTTTAAACCGGTTTTTTAGTTACAATTAGTGTAGGTTTTTTCTACTTATAATAGAAACTGAATTTATTTTATTCATAGAAAGTATTTTAGAATAGGTCATGCTACGTCAGGGAATTATGTTAGTCCAAGCATGATCATACATGATACTTTGAGGTTTTATAAGAATTTAGCTATTTAGAAATTTCATTGTTCCCACTTTCTACTAATTGCAGTTTTGGCTTTAGTACAATTACAGTTTGTATTTGGGTTTATTTTAGAAGCTTTATTGCTGATGATCAGCCTTACATATCAGGATTAGGAATTAGAAACTTTTATAGAAATTAAGATAGATACATAGGATTTTAGAATAGCCATTTTGTTAAGAGATCATAATCAATTGTTCCTAGAAACGGCCCAGCACAATCTTTGGACTCGGCCACATTCTTCAGGAACTGGTCTGAGCTATAATTAAGAGTTTTTTTATAGTGCAGGTAGAATTAGCACAGAATAGAAAGGTATTAGGATTTAAGTTAGTCACTAGGTGTTGTGTATGCATAAGCTTTAGAAGTTATTGATTATTAGAATATTATGATGTTAAAATTGTTGTATTGCTTTTGAGGAACATAAACCAAGCATAAGGAACAGTGAGATAATTTTGGGATTGTCCTTCCTCATGCTTGGGAAAATGCCTGGTGGGTGGGGGATGCCCCTCATCTACTTGGCTTTGTGTTCACGTAATAGTCTTGTGATTTGATTGGGATTGTCCTTCCTCATGCTTAAGGAAACACCCGGTGGGTGGGGGGATGAGCCTCATCCACCTAGCCTTGTGTTCACGTGAAAGTCTTGTGATTTTTTTTTTTTGTTGTTGTTGGAGTCTCACTCTGTCGCCCAGACTGGAGTGCAGTGGCTGCTCCTGGCCACCGCAGCCTCGACCTGCTGGGCTCTAGCGATCCTTCCACCTCAGCCTTCTGAGTAGCCGGAATTACAGGCATGTGCTACCACACCCGGCTGATTTTTTGATTTATTGTAGAGATGAGGTCTCGCTGCCCAGGCAGGTCTCGAACCCGTGGGTTCAGGCAATCCACTCACCTCAGCCTCCCAAAGGCACGGGATTACAGGCTGAGCCACCGAGCCCGGCCGTCTTGTGATTTAACATGTGAAAATTTGGGATAAAAGACTCACAGTTGGTCCCAATAAATGGCTTCTGCTCATTTCACTGAACAGTTGTCCACTTTCTTTCTTTCTCTTTCTTCCTCTTTATATCTATCCCTCCATCTTTCTTTCTTTTAATATCTATCCCTACTACAGAATCGGCTTCTGCACTAGACAGAGTCCAGTCTCTTTCTTTCTCCCCCCTTTCTCTTTCTTTCTCTATTTCTCCAGAATAATCGCCGACGCTGCCCCACCTTCCAGGGACCCTCTAAGTCTCTCTGAATGGGCTGGCCCTCCGGACCGTTGCTCATCTCCTGCTGTGCGGTCACGTTCCTAACAGACCATGGACTGATACTGGTCCATGGCCCAGGGATTGAGGACCCTTGTAGTATAACATAGTACAGCCTCCACTCCCAGGTTGAAAGCTTACAGAGTGACAGGAAAGTGCACAGGCTCAGTGCAGTAGGTGAGGTGTGGCGTGAAAGCCCTTGGGAGAGCTTGATGAGTGTTCCCTGGAATTTGGTGTAGGGATGGGCACTGGGGACATAGAGACTGGTAAACAGTGCTTGGCAAATAAAGGTGCTTGGTAAATATTTGTTGAAAGAATAAAGGAGTGCCTCCTACCTGGAGAATTCAGAAGGTGAGAGGTTGGCTTGGACAGCTCAAAATGGCAGGATAAGTGAGGAGAGCTGTGACTGCAAGTTATCTTTTCCTTACTGGTATAGCAAAAAGACATGACTGTCTTCACATGGCTTTGACCATGGAAGGATAGCTGGACTTGAGTTGTCATCATGGGACTTCAGCCAACAGGACAGCTTGTGCAAAGGAACTAGAGCAGTAAGAGACCATGGGGTCAGGAGGAAGAGGTATTGGGCAGGGGGAAATGGGATTGAGGGTGAGTGGGTTGCTGCAGGAGGCGAGCCAGATAATGTACCACTTGCATGTGGTACCATATGGGGTCCACTCAAGGCTTCCCAATAACCCACAGATGCGCCCCATAAAGAGCCAGCATTTGGACTCTGCTATTAAAGGAGGCAGAACACACAGCCTGTCAGTCTTAGGCATGGTTGACTGGGGGAGATTCACTCCTCTTTGTGTAATAACCTCATCCCTTATCATGGCCTGGAGACATCCAAGATGGAGAGAAGATAGAGGAAGACTAAAGAAACTGACCACATTCCGTCCCTACTTTACTGCAAGGAAGACCTGAGCCAGGGACATGCAGAGTTTTGAATGAGGTATGAGAGTGCTGTTAAAGTGGACATGTCTGGCTATTTCAAAGCCTGAAGTAGAGATGCACTTACTAGAATGAGACTTGTCACTACGATTTATGGCATCTCGCCACAATTCAGGAGTTTTGGAGGGAGAGCCACAGAACCTGGTTGTAAGGCAGTGGTTAGAGAAAAAATAAAGTCCTTTCTTTCTGGACTTAGCTCATTCAATAAACCTGTTTTGTAATAAATAGTTGTTAAAAAAAAAAGAAGTCTGAGTGAAATTTTACTAGAGCCATCTTCTGTCTGTATTTCCCTGCCCTTGTGCTTGAGGGGAACACATATTTTCCCTCATAGGACCTCTCTCAAATGGTACACTCTTCCACAGCCTCTGCAAAACTGTTTCCTAAACTACAAATAACAAGGACCAACAAAAAAAAATGATGTCACAGATACTAAATGACCAACTATTCTTAAATGGTATCAATATTTGTCTCACAAACTATCATTGACATTGAAAATAGAGATTTTAGGCTGGGCGTGGTGACTCAAGCATGTAATTACAGCACTTTGAGAGGCTGTTGTGAGAGGACTGTTTGAAACCAAAGGTTTGAGACCAGCCTGGGCAACTTGGAAAGACCTTGTCTCTACA